AATTTAACAGTCAAGCGATTTCGATTTGCGATCATGAGATTAATATGGACAAATGCAATCTGTAGAATATAAATGCAACACGGGATTTATCGCTTCTTACAGATAAATACAGATGGCTTCACCGTGCAGCATGACAATAACCCACAACATTCAATCAGTACAACCAAGGAAGAATAATCAGAGGAAAAACATGGAAAATCGTAGAGCGGCCAAATCCATTTTTTAATTTAAATTCAATTGAGCGTTTTACAGGCTGGACGCAAAATCTGAAGGCAGAACATCCCGAGAATAGGCAAGAGCTCACAGTGGCTGCCTCAAAGGCTTGGCAAAGCATCTCAACCGATCCCACAAAGAAATTCAGCTCAGTGAGTCACAGCTTTCATGCCGTTATTGCCTCTAAGGGGATATGCAGCCAAATACTGGCTTTTACACTTGAGTGAATGTACCTCGTAACTTCTGGTCTTATGGGGTGAAAAAAAGGTTTTATTATCAAAAATAAAGCGTATTATAATGTGCATTCATGTCAAACTCGTGATCACAAATAGAAATTGCTAGACTGTAAAAGGAAATATATTTTTTTGACTTTGCTGTCCTAATACTATTGGAGGGCACTATACAGGTTGTCAATTTGTATTAACAGATTATTTGCATTTGTTAGAGGGGAACTGCAGTCCCCATTTTCTCTGACTGGTTATTAAGTCTCGGTTACAAAATTATAATAGTTGACGGTAGAGTAAAAATCGCTCACAAAATCGTGAACGTTGTGAAAGTGCTGTATGGTCGCCATGTTGTCACCAATCACTGGTCTCGCCCAGGGCGAGAGTGCGAGAATTGTGACTTAAACTGTCCCTTCCTGCTCACTAGTCACTGTAATGACTGATGCAATGCGATGTACCAGTGAATAAGTACAGGTTGTGCAGCAGACATTTCACTGCAGAAATGTCCCAACGTGGTCTGCATGCAGTGTTGACAAGTAGTATTTGTCAGCAAAACAAATGGTGCATGTTGAAGGGTGAGGGGGGAGAGAGAGAGAGAGCACGAGGGATGAGGGACAGATGTCACATGTCATGTGTTGTCAGATGTTTCTGGAGCAGCTGAGTCCTGTGCAGCGGTTTCTAAACCTGCATGGCCTGTGATGTCACTCTTGCATGGCCAGTGATGTCACTCTTGCATGGCCAGTGATGTCACTCTTGCATGGCCAGTGATGTCACTCTTGCATGGCCAGTGATGTCATGTCTCAATGGGTGCCTGCTGTTCGTTGTTTGGCAACTGATGAGAAAAGAGAGGGGGGAAATAGACAGCGTAGAGGCAGCCCAGAGCTGCCCATTTGATTACTGTTACGTTTCCAGCACTTTTCTTTTTCTTTCGGCGGTGACTCCTGCGAGATTTCCGCCCTCGATGATCAATCTAAGCAAGTCAAGCCGGCCGGTTTCCCTAACCTCAAACCCTCTGCAGGAGTGACCGAATGGACGTCCTGGTTCAACATCGACCACCCAGGGGGCACCGGGGACTACGAGCGCCTGGAGGCCATCCGCTTCTACTACCGCGAGCGAATGTGCGCCCGGCCCGTGGCCCTGGAGGCGCGTACCACCGACTGGGTGCCAGCGGGGGACACCGGTGAAGTGGTACATTCCAGTCTGGAGAAGGGGTTCTGGTGTGTCAACAAAGAGCAGCGGCTCGGCAGGGTCTGCTCCAACTACCACGTGCGCTTCCAGTGCCCTCAAGGTAGCTGTTTCACCACCGTGTGCCTGGTGCCGGTACGAGAACGTCAGGTCAGCTGATCGTATGGCCAGGCTAATTCCTCAAGCAGGTACCTTTGGCATTTTGGCAGTGGCCATATCGCCCTGCAGCGCTGTCACCCTGCAGCTCCCAGCTGGTGGCCCCACTGGAGCCCAGCAGGTGTGAGCCTGGCCAGTACCTGGATGGGAGTCTCCTGGGAAAGCTGAGGCTGCTGCTGGAAGAGGTGTTAGTGGGGCCAGTAGGGGGCGCTCACCCTGCAGTCTGTGTGGGTCCTATTGCCCCTGTATAGTGTTGGGGACAGTACAGTGTAAAAATGTCTCCGGCCTTCGAATGAGGTGTAAAACGACATCCTGACACTCTGTGCCCATTAAAAATCCCAGGGTGTTTTTCAAAAAGAGTAGGGGTGTTACCCTGGCGTCCTGCCCAACTTTCCCCCTGGCCTTTACCAGTCACGGCCTCCTACTAATCCCCATCTCTGAACTGGCTTCATCACTCTGCTCTCCTCCCCACTGAGAGCTGGTGTGTGGGGAGCGGACTGGCGCATCATCACGGTGGGGGTACAGACTGGTGGGTGTGGAGGGGATCCCCATTACCTATACAGCTCTTTGAGTGGAGTGTCCAGAAAAGCCCTATATAAGTGTAAGGAATTATTAAATATGATTATGTATTGTATATCACTGTCTAATGCTCATACCTGCTACCTCCCTCTTCTCAGCCTGTCTAGATTAAAAAAACAGAATGCATCCATCCATTTTTGAACTGCTCCTTCTAATTCAGGGTCATGTTTCAGTCCCTCTCTGCCTCTCTCTGCTGTGCCCCGGACGGCACACCCGTCCACTGCAGTTCACTCACAGCACTAAAACACACATACTCACAGCAGGGCCGGTTTTCCCAGAAGTCAATTTACCTAAAAGCATGTCTTTGGACTGTGGGAGGAAACCGGAGCACCCCAGAGGAAACCCCCATGAACGTGGGGAGAACATGCAAACTCCACGCAGACAGCACCCTAGGTCTGGATTTGAACCCGTGGCGCCAGGGCTGCGAGGCAGCAAAGCTAACAACTGGTCTATTGAGCTGCCCTGGCCTAACGCAACCTCTCAGGAAGTGTTATACTGTCAACAGCACGGTGCAGACCGCTGCAGACATGATCTAACAATGGCGACCAGTGTCACAAACCTGAGCAGATGACACCACTTCCTTGTACAGGAACATCAAGACTATACAGAATGTACAGATGGGAATGATCCATCCGTTTTCTAACCTCTTCTTCCAATCCAGACAGCCACATAGCACCCCAGGTCTGGAATCGAACCCTGGGCCGGTGCTCACCACCGCGCCACCATGCTGCCCCCAAAATGCTTTGAGTCCCAGAATTTCCCAAGAGCTCAGGTGACTAACAGCCCCCTAAACGAGCGGCCGTGCCTGTCCCCCGCAGGGCAGACCTACTGGGCGGAGTGGTCGGCGTGGGGCTCCTGCTCGGCCCAGGCCTGTGACGACGTGGGGATCCAGGTGCGCCGGCGGAGCTGCCAGAGCGCCCAGCCGCTGCCCCCGCTGCAGGTGCCCGTCTGCCAGGGCAAGGCCACCGAGAGGAAGGAGTGCGCCACGCCCCCCTGCCCAGGTGACTGACAGCACGCGGGATTGGGC